AGCCGGTGGCTATCATTAGTACAGCGCCTAAACATAACTTCACAGGAACCTCAAATCTTTTTTTTGTAATATCAACTTCAAATTTGGAACATAAGATATTTAGACATATGTATTTGATTTTATATCAATTTTAGATTCCAAAATATTTTGAAAATATTCATTTTATATAAAACAATAAAACCATACAGTAATTTTTCTTTACAGTGAATTTAAAATTCTATAACTTTTCAATTTTTTGTAAATGCTTTCGCTTCAGCAGATTGTCTTCTTTGAAAATAACTTACTTTTAACATTTGATTGGTCAATACAACATTTTAATTCTTGCAGCCAGGCTGAAACTAAAAAAATCTGTGCCCATCATACACTACGCAATTTACTGTGAAAATTGTGAACTGAAAGCTCTTACTTTTGACAAAAAGCTTTGCCTCGCCCATACTGTAAATCTGGGCAAAAGTTGCGTACTGTATTCCAGCTTTTAGCTGATTACAGTACTGTAGTTGGGGGCCTTGGAGGGCCCAGGCACCCCAGTGGTCAGTTAAGGGGTCATAATAATTAGCTCGCACTGTACATTATACGCCAAGGGCCCTAGTCACTGGTCAGCTGTTTACACCAAGGTTCCTAGAGGTCTTAGTAGGGAGCTCATGCTGTGTGTGCTCAGGGACCCGGGTCCCTAGAGGTCAGCTTGTGCTGTGTGCAGCCCTGAAGGTCATTGTGGTCAGTATACACTGTATGAGCTTAGGTGCCAAAGGGCCTAGGTGCCCAGCAGTTTAGTGATTATCTCACACTGAATGCATTAACGGCCCCGGTGTTGTACTGTTTTGGCATCTCAGGTCATGGCCTCTTGTACGTTATTACTTAAATATGAACACTTTTTTTTTCTGTAAGAACAGGAATTGCTCACATAGTTCTGTCTTGTGAAGTTATGCTCCAGTCATTGAACAAAGTTTAGCCCCATGGACAGTGATCAGTAAAGTGAAAACTTTCCACAGCAGTCCAGCCTGTCTGCACAGTAAATTACAATCAATATGAGTCAGACCACATGTGTACATCTATAAAGCCTTCTGCAGCATGAAGAAAAAGCTAGAATAGGCTGTACTAGCAGATTAACATTAATTGATATATGAGACAGGAAAGAAATGTTTTCCTGAGATTGTATTATTATTATTATTATTATTATTAGTTGTTGTTTACTTTTTATTTTTAGAAGTTGTCTTAGCAACAACGTAGATTTACATAGTTCTGTCTTGTGAAGTTATGCTCCAGTCATTGAACAAAGTTTAGCCCCATGGACAGTGATCAGTAAAGTGAAAACTTTCCACAGCAGTCCAGCCTGTCTGCACAGTAAATTACAATCAATATGAGTCAGACCACATGTGTACATCTATAAAGCCTTCTGTAGCATGAAGAAAAAGCTAGAATAGGCTGTACTAGCAGATTAACATTAATTGATATATGAGACAGGAAATAAATGTTTTCCTGAGATTTTATTATTATTATTATTATTATTATTATTATTAGTTGTTGTTGTTGTTATTTACTTTTTATTTTTAGAAGTTGTCTTAGCAACAACGTAGATTGTTTACTTTACTTAATTGTTTACTTTAATTAATTGAAAGCTGCAGGTTTATCTGTTTTAATCCCTAACAGCAGTTCTTCTATGATCCTGAAAGTATATGAACACACAAGCAATGTTATGTTGTTTTCTTTTCTTTTTCTTTTCTTGCCCTTAGTGTGCAGTTCTTTTCCTGCAGTGCCCATTTGGATTGTGTCCATAAGCAGTAAAATACTTAAAATCAAATGTAGTGCATCATGGGAGTGACATCTAGACTGATGTCATTTACAGTAAGCACAGAACAATTGAAGTGAGCACACTGAAGGTCTCATATATGACTGGCACTTTGTTTTAAATAGGACAACAACATTAAATCAATGTTCATCGTACAGAAGCTTAAAAAACATTATGGAAATTTGTGCTAAAAAGAACTGTCTATCTATCTATCTATCTATCTATCTATCTATCTATCTATCTAATCTAGTTTAGTCTGAACTCTTCACTAATGGCCTCATCAATTGTATAATAATAATAATAATAATAATAATTGTTATTATTATTATTATTATTATTATTATTATTTAGCCAAATGCTGAACTTTAAGTCTTTACTTTTCTGTCTTGGAATTATAAATTAACTTAATAATAATAATAATAATAATTTTTCTGGTGTCACCATTTTTCGCTGCTTCTACTGTCACATCCTGTTTGGTGAGACAACCTGTGTAGTGACGCAAGCATCCTCTTAGATCTGACCTGAAATCAGTGAATAACCTTCAATAGGTCTGTCTGTCTCGTTTTTTTTCAGTTTGTGTTGGTCTCAATTTATTGTCCCTTGTTTACGTGTGCCTATAGAAGCAAGTCTGTGTGAATAGACGAGCTGTGCTGATGTTCTTTCTTACACACACACACACGCGCACACACGCACACACACACACACACACACACACACATCCTATGGGGTTATCAGGAAGCAGTTTGCCTCGCCAAATGTTCATTATGTCCCCACACCACCCTCTCCTATCCATCCACACACGTGCACACACACACACACACACACACACACCGGTACCCATGCAAACACACACTTTTTCCCTATAGCCCTCATGGAAATGTTCCAAGCGCACAAAGGAATCTCAAAGTGACTTTTCTGTCAGCAAATTTGCCGTGTTTTCAAATGTACTTCCATTCGCTCTCCATTTTTTTCCTGCAGTAAATGTCACCAAGTAGTCGCACTGCTGGTATTTTAGACGAAGTCTAATGACATTTGACAGGGGGAAAAAATTGCCTTTTGTTTTGTTAGCAAAATGTCAACATCAATGCATGTATGTCTACGATTATTTCAGTTTAGAAATCTGTCGATCAGCAGATTGGAGGAGGTATTTGCTTTAGGGGAGAGTACGGTTGCTTCAGAATGTGTTTCCCAAGCTGCACTCATCTAAAAGTTATTCTTCTGAGGAAATTATTTTGCTCCTCATAGTGGTGTGAACATGGATGAGCCCTTTTGTACTTTCCTCATAATACCACCTAATTTTGAGTGAGATCATATTTATTTTAAAGTGTTTAACATTTTTCAAAAAAACAAAACATATATCAGTATTTCTTGAGAAAACCCTTTAAATAAAGATATTTCAAAGACAATATGTGATTGTGCTAGGTTAAATCGTTTGACAAAAGTCAGTGTATTCTTTGTTTTATTTACATATCATTAAATATTTTAAATGTCTTTTTTGCAGTTAAGTTTGTCACACTGTCGGAGGAAAACTTTAAAAAGACAAACAAACAAACAAGAGTTTCACTTGGGCTCTGAAAGCAACTTCTCCCAGTTAAATGTCAGAAATGTCCAAGTAACCTCATGATAATTCTCTGACAAACAGGCTGTAGGATCAATTTGACGAGCGGTGTGGATCTTTGAAAGTGATTTTTTTTGGGGTCAGCTGTACAAATTGTATAAGTTTTATAAGTTGTAACAATTGATATGCACCTGGCTCTATATAATCAGCCAATCAATCATTCAATAAACAACTGCAACAAAAACAAAAAACTTAAATAATCAGTGGTTTTATTTTGATGTTGTCAGTTAACACAGAAATTATTTTCAGCTTGTTCCTTGGTTTGTAAAAACAAAATAAATTTGTGCCTATAATAATGCACTTAATTGTAATCCATTGTGCAGGACATTCCTTCATTGGAAAAGATTTGGAGAAATGTAGCATTGCGTCACTTGATCTCCAGTGAATCCTCTGCAGTGAATGGGTGCCGTCAGAATGAGAGTCCAAACAGCTGATAAAACATCACAATAATCCACAAGTAATCCACACCACTCCAGTCCATCAGTTAATGACTTGTGAAGTCAAAAGCTTTATGTATGAAAGAAATAAAGTCATCATTAAGGTGTTTTAACTTTAAACCGTTGCTTCTGGCCAAAATATGAGTTCATGCTCCATAATGACACGTCGTAAACTGAAAATGTCTATCCTCTGTTGGGATTCACATCAAAATCCTCCGACACATTTGTTTGGAACTGTTTTAGACTGTTTTTGCTTGTAAATGGTATTTGATCTGTGCATATTTCTCTTCTGATTCAGACGAGATGACCTTTTCACCGGAGAAAGCAATATTGTGAACAGAAGAGTCATATTTTTTCCACAAGCAACAAAGTAAAAAAAATAAATAAATAAATAAAAAAAAACATGGATTTGTTTCTTACAAAAATGTTTCTCACTTCACAAGATGTTAACTGATGGACTGCAGTGGTGTGGATTACTTATGAATTTTTTATCAGCTGTTTGGACTCTCATTCTGACGGCACCCATTCACTGCAGAGCATCCATTGGTGAACAAGTGGTGTAATGTTTCTCCAAATTTCTCCAAATCTGATGAAGAAACAAACTCATCTACTCTACATTCTGGATGGCCTGAGTAAATTTGAACCTTTCTGAATATAATAGACTTCAATTTGAATTATTATTATTTATTAATTTTAGTTATTTTGTTTATTTTTTTTGGAACTGCTAATTGACAATAATAGTCTCAGCCATCATGGTGACCCCCAATATAAAAAGCTAGATTTGCACAGTGACACTTTAAAATAACTTTCATGAAATTATTTACATTATCACATTATTTAATGATTAGCATATTGATCATGAAATTAGAAGAATATTCACGCTGCTGGATAACATGAATCATCAGGTTGGCACAAACTTGTCCAAATGCTGTAGTTATTTAAAGCAAACTGGAGAAATTCTAGAAGCTAATCATATGATTTCTAATTGAAACATTTGTATTTTATTGGCTGAACAGAAACATTTTCACTCATTTTCTCAAACTTTTGAGCTTCACTGTGTGCTGTAAATCTGCAACTTTTGCTGTGCCAGCCACATCTCACCTCCTGTCTGTCCTCTCACCGGCGCGCATCAGTGCCATCATCACTCATTCAGAGATGAAGGCTGAGTTCGCACGCCCGCATGGGATGGGATGAGGGGTGTGTCATCGGTCGTGATGTCAGAGCGCAAGGACTCTCATGATTGGCTCTAATTAGAATCCGCGGCAGCAAATAGACACACGTCCTGCATGATTGGATTCAAAGTGGCTGGTGCCAAAAAGCGCAGAGAGGCGCAGGAGCTCCAAACGCGGGAGGAGGACGCTGCGCTCCAGATACGGTCAGACAGGCGAGCAGCACTTTTAGCTTGTTATCGAGAGCTTATTAGAAGAGTGTGAGGCGGAATAAGACGCAGCTGATATTCCCGGAGCGTTTCTCGTGCGCAACTGCAGCACGGCAACTTCAGAAACATCAAGCAGAGCAAGTTCTCCAAAATCTGAGCACCATGGCATCGGTCTCCAGCAGCCAGGTCAAATGCAAGTTCAAGAGGAGGAGGAGGAGGAGGTCGTCCAAGCGAAAAGGTAAAGTTTCTTTCAGTCGTAATTGAACGCTTTCCCTCACAAAGCCTGGAATACGCAGCGTTAAGTGGCGATCATCTCCGCGCAACTGCGCAGTCTGGATGTCAGTACGCGGGTTTGTGTTTGATGCGCGTCGGTCGCGTCACAATCGTTCCTCTGTCAAGTTTGTGTAAACATATGCCAGCTCGCTTCAGCTGCGCACTGATTCTCGCTCGCGCCGTTTTTTCTGATTTCTCCGTCTGTGCATCCAGTGTTTACAGTACTGATATCTGTCCTTGTCCTAACCTCAAATATAAGATTTGACCTCATTTACGTCCTGCGATTGTAATGTTATACCACGTTTTCAGCCTCTCGTGACCATTACATGCGCATTTATGGGATTTTTGTAGTTTTGGGGAATTTAAATACACTGTAACTATGACCAGGCACAGTGAAAACATAAATGGGGTTTGTTATTCCTTAAGGTGTTATTTCTACCTAATCTGACCTTTTAAAATGACTTTGCATCTGGAACCTAAATGTAGACAAATTAAATCATAAATGTAGATGTTACAACAAAACATTCTACAGTTTAAACCGTGATTATATGTCAACTCTGTCAAAATGTTTCCATGGCTGTAACAGAATATTTATTTTCATCTATATCATTTTTACTCAATTTCTCAAAAACCTTTAAATTTGTTTTTCTTCATTATTTATTCAATTCAAAGTGCTTCACAGCAGGTTATACTGTATGACTATACTTGATTTGATTTTACTTGAAATTTTAGGCAGAAATGAAACTTAATTCTCAGGTGTGTTCGAATTGTTTGCCTTTTTAGCACATTAAATATTAAACTGCTATAGTACAAAATATCAGTAAATAAAATGATCTGTGACAAACAAACTTCCAGCTACCAAGCTTTATATGGAAATTATGTGAAGTTACAGTATACACCATAAACTGATAATAATGCACTTTATGCAGTAACATCTGCATTTATTATTAATATGTCTGAGTGAACTTGCCAACATGAGTTTACATGACAAAATGAAAGTCCTTTTCAAAGGTCAGATCGAGTAGAAATAGCACCTAAGGTAACAACAGCACATTTTCACTGTAAACACCCCCCCACCCCACCCCAAAAAAACGAGTTAATCTTAATTACCAGCTTTTATTTAAGTATTATTTAAACATGACAGAATCCACCTAATTAGTTTACACCAACAAAAGTTATTTTAACGGTCAGATCATATAGAAATAATCCCTCAAGGTAATCGATTGGTGCTCCTTGAAAAACTGAGCAGTGGCACTGTTATTATATTCCTAATAGGTCTAGTATAGTCCAGAAGCTACAAAAGTAGTATAGAATATATTAAAGTACTCTAAATTACTTGCATGTATAACAGGCCTCTTTTGTTTAAACAGTTTAATATATTTTTTTAAACAATTACACTGTCAACACAGATTATTATTATTATTATTATTAAAATGAACAATTTAAATCTATAATTTAAAACTTTTTTTTAGCTTTCGCTATTTTCTTTTCTTTTTTTGTTTCCATGTGTGTAGAAGCAGGAATTTTTAGGGAAATTAGTTGCACCAGTTCTATTTCCATTATCAGCTCTGAAATGTCATCATAATGTATTGTGTATGTACAGTGCAGCGTAATGGATTTTAGGGAAATTAGTTGCACCAGTTCTATTTCCATTATCAGCTCTGACATGTCATCATAATGTATTGAGAACAGCGCAGCGTAATGGGATTGAATGACAGCGGACACGCTTGCTTCTCATCTTACTTTGGTGGCTGGTAATAAATGGAGGTGTGTGATGCTGGGGAGGTCCAGAAACACCTCTGCGTCTGCTGTGACAGGTTTTGTGCTGCGTCTCACCCCGTCACTGCTCATCGTGTGACCCGAGAGCGGCACGGGCCGTGGGCTGGATGGGCTGATAGCGCGGCATTGATCAGCCACGTTGCTCGCGGTCAGTCTGTCTGTGTGCCTTCGCTGGCAAACGGACACGGATTTGCTTGGAGTTTATTAACGTCTGCATTGCATGGTTTTGCAAAACTGTCAAACGTGTGAACAAGGGTTGTAAATAAATCATGATGATTTTTTTATGTAAATATTGAATACAGTGGTTAGGCAACATGAGACTGCAGATCCGTCTCATTGTTCCTGGTTTTGCTTTCGAGGACATTGTGATGGAATTATTCTGGTGGAGTCATTTCATGAAGTATCATTAGCGTTGTGCAATACACACACCGATGTCTGTCCACAACTGCGGTCTGACCTGTAACCCAGAGTATTAATAACCCAAGCAATCGTGAGAACGTAGACAATAGTTGTGGTGTAACATCGAGGCAAATATATTTACATAATGGAAATGACACAATTGGTCACACAACATTAAGCATTGCATATAAACATTAGAGGAGTGCGTAAGAATGTGAGTGTGTGTGTGTGTGTGTGTGTTCGAAGGGCTAATTTATCAGCTGAGCTAATGGGAAATGATGGTGCTGGACAGAAGAGTAGGAACTAGGAATGTAGAAAAACATGCTAGAAAGTGTACGCACTGGTCAGATTATTAAGACCGCCAGATTTTCACAATCATCTTTATCTTTTTCATCATCATTATAATAAAAGATTTTAATTTCCACTGGGACAATATACTTTACTCGGGGGAATTCAGACACAATTAATCACATAAAACCAGATAACGTCAGCAGATTGTTTTAACTTCTCCCATCTAATCTCTCATAATGGAGATGAAAACATAATACCGTGTCTCGTTCTAACAAATGCTCATTTTTCTGAAAGCCGAAAACAATTCGTTTTATTGTCTTCCTGGCAAATGGGCGCCGTTCCGGGATTATATCGACATGGCATTTGACGGTCTAATCCTCAGCAAATGCTTCAGATTATTACAGAACGTCCAGTGCATTAAAACCAATGTGTATTCAAACGCACATAAGCAGATTTTGCTCCTGATGTGGTTTTTTTGCGTGCCATTGTAGCGGTAATGTTAGCAGAGGTTACTGAGGTAGCACACATACAAACAATAGAGATTAGTCCTCAGAACTGGGACAGTTTCTCTTATTGCTATCATCAAGTATGTGCTTTTTTTAACCTCACATATTTGGTATTCATTTGAACAAGAAAGTGTGTGTTGAGGTATTGTATAGTTGTTTGCTGATAAGTTCAAGGTAAGCAGGTCAAAAGCAAACCATATTGGCGCAGCATATGAGAAGTATTAAATAATACAGTGTTGGATGAGTCAATACATTGGTGCAGAAGAACTACATTTAGTTCTAAACTTGTTAAAGGTTAGTGGATGCTGAAGTGTGTGACTGCCCCGCTGTGGCTTATACGGAGGGGGTCGTTCTGTTAATTGGCTCCGGTGTGAATTAACCTCGGCCCAGTTATTTACCCCCAAATCTTTTGGGAAGAGTGTAGTGAAACCCTACATTAGAAATAAAAATAAGTTTGCTTAATAGAATGTGCACTTTGAATGTACTTCAGATCTTAAAAGTATATGTAAAAAAAAATTACTTGCAGATAGTGTAATTTTAATGAAATAAAAGGCCACTTAGGTTTACTTAAGTACACTTATTTATGTTTAAGACAAATTTAGTACACATTTAAAAAAAAAAAAGCACTTTTGAAATATTGTAAATCATTGTTTTAATAATCTTTTGTCATGATTTAAAGACGTACACTTATTTGTATATGTTTATTAACCTGCTAAAGCACATTTAAACTGCAGTGTGTTATTCGTTATTACATTTAGAGTTAATATATTTAAAAATTTCAAATATACTAATTTGCTAATTCATCTGTAAAAATTAGTTATATATTTTTATGTATGTGTATGTGTGTGTGTGTGTGAAATACAATTTATGCTATATATACACCACACATCATATGTTTGTATATTTGTATTATAGTATGAATTTTCCATATGTGTTTGTCAGTACATTCAGCAATACACTTTAAGCAGATTTCAAAGACAATAAAAGTAATTCTGAAATTGTGCTTAAGTCCTATATAAAAAAAAACTTTAAATTTCAGCTAATTGCTTTTAATATGAATTTAAACTATAATGCATTTTAATTTTATTGCAACTGACATAAACTTAAGTGTTATCAAACAGTTCACACTTAAGTATATTTGTTTTTATATAAATACTCTTTAAAAGCATGCAAAAGTGTACTTTTGTTACACGTGTTGTGTGATTTCTGTGACCGAGTATTTGACTGAAAGCTGAAATCCTGTATTTTGTTTGGTTTATTTAAATGGATGTAACAGCCTTGCGTTGGTATCATATTGTGCATGAATGTATCTGCTGCTACTTTTGGGTATGTCTAACAGTGTATCCTGATGTGTGTGGATGTTGACAGACATGTTGTCAAATCGGTGAAGTAATTGCCACACACATCTCGAACTCCAGAAGGTCGAGCGGTTGTGCCGATGCGGTCAGAGGGCCAGCAGAGACTCAAACAGTTCTCGAATGAGGCACATATTCCCCATAGGCCAGTTTAGAAAGTAGTTATGCAGCCTTTCTCGCTGTTATTTTGTTAGAATTGTTCATTATTTGTCATCCTACATCCTACATCGTATTCATGATTGAAGCAATCTGAGGTGTCTTTAATTAAACTGCATAGAGCAGTTAATAAGAGCATATTTACACAGTCTTTATTATTTTATTATATGCAAAATAAATATGTATGATTGGATTGAGAATGAAGATTTAGCTCAGACATAATCCAGACATGCCAAATCGGTTGTACCGGAAAAGGAAACGTATTTAGCCATAATCAGATGTAAACACAATTTTTGTCCCGAGCCCTATACTTCATTACACTCTCCTCTTTGTGCACAGTGGTGATAAGGAATTTTTTTTTGGTGAACGCCAGTATAACACCTCTAGCATTTAAGAAGTTAATGAAGGTCGTCACCAGCGGCAACCAGAGACCTGTGTGACGGCAGCGTTTCAATTCACACACACTTCCATGATTAAGC